CTGCATCCCGCACTGCAACAGCAGCGAGTGCCCGGCAGACTGCGGCCTGCACAGCATCTCCTGCCACTGCCCTGAGGGCTTCTTGCTGGACGAAGACACCAGGGTCTGCGTGGACATTGATGAGTGTGACATGAACTACTGTGAGTACAACTGCACCAACCTTCCCGGCAGCTACAAGTGCCACTGTGACACCGGCTACCAGGTCTATGACCAGAATGGCTGTGTCAAAATCCTGGATGAGGACGGCGAGCAAGGCTACTCGGGCGAGTTTGAACCCCAAACGCCCATCCCCAGCCGGACCCCACCGAAAGTGGAACACCTCCACACCACCACATTGGTGGGCATCACTGTGGGTGCCCTCTTGGTGGCCCTGGCCCTGATAGCCCCGGGCTACCACCTGGTGAAGAAGCGCTGCAGGCGCCCCACCACCATGGATTACAAGTGTGGTGGCCCCCACGAAAAGGAGATGGGACTTCAGCCGGTCTCCTCTGGCCAGAAACTGTAGGGACACTGGGCAGGACGGAGAGAAGGAGGTGGATTGAACTGGGTAACATTTACTCACACCCCCCCACACCTGCAACTGCGATTTTTAATGATAAAGAGAATTTGGGAAAAGCTGTCAACACCCCCACTTCCAAGAATACCCTCGGATTTTCAGACAGCTCTTGCTTGCGGCAGGGAACAAGGGGGAGGGGAGAAGGCACGTGGATGGAGGTTCTTTGAGGGAAAACCATGAGTTCTAGGAAAAATGACTCCGTGGAACTGAGCGTTTAAATCTGTGTTGACTATGGAATGAGGGAGCACAGCCAGCTGAGTTGTCGCAGACCATGGAAGACTCCAAACCAGTGCTGCTGCGCTGAGGATTATGGTTTTCCTGGGGCGGAGGGCAGGGAAGAGGAGATGGGGTGCTCATGCTTTCATTGGGGTTGGGTTTAGTGTTGTTTGGGGTTTTTGTTACAAATAGTGGAAGAAAGAGCAAAGATCTTGTGGTCAGTGCTTTGCCTCTCTTTCTGCCTCATTGGCAGAAATCTGGTTTTTTCCCCCTCTCCTCACCTTTTGCCTCTGCCCCCTGGCACCTGAGCACTTTTCACCTCATGCTGAGTGTCACCATGTGAGATCTAAAAGGCCTGATTTCTGTTCCCTTTGACCATTCTGGGGCTTTTTTTTTTTTTTTTGTGGGGTGTGGGGGTTAAATGGGGATACTGAGAATGCCAGCGGCATTTTTTCCATGGTAGGAAAAGTCTTCTGTGGCACGTTACCCCTCAATTTCTTTCATGATTTTCTGACTTATTGGGTTAAACTCTATTTTTGTTGGGGTTTTTTGTGTTTTGGGTTTATTTTTCTTACTAATCCACTTAACCAACCCTGCCTGCCCACAGATTTTGGGGTTTTTTTTCCTGTTTTTCTTTCAGTCTTCCCCAAGGCTGAGTCTAACCCATGTTAAAGCTCGTGGCAAAACAGGGTGAGGGGGAGCAGGATCCATCCCGCTGCTTACTTTCCACCCGCAGATTTGGGGGAAACCTAGGGAAGTACTTTATGGTTTTTTTCCAGCTCTGGGGAGGTGAGGGGCAGCTCTGCAAAGAGCTGGAGCGGGGGGATCCTGCTCTGGCAGCTGGGGAGGGGTGAAGCCCATGAAATACCAGCCTGCAGCAACTCTCGGCAGCAAGGAAAATAAAAAAGATACTCATGGTATGAACCATAGCTTTCCTAACGTGAATGGTTCAACCCACTGTTTTATACATATTTTGTAAATATTTATTTATTGGATATATACCCTATGCAATGCACAATCACACAGTGATTTTGTGTGTAGACCAATAAAGCTTTTACAGTCTGGTTTATAGAAAGCTGCTGATGAAATATTCTTCCTCCCTCTTCCCGAAAATGAGTGGGATTTTTTTTTCCTCACAGAACACTGGCTCGTCTCACAGCCAGAGCTCCCAAAATCAGCTGGAGGAAAAAAAAAAGGATCTGTGGGCTTTTAGCAGAGCATCGGGCTGAAAGCATTGCCCTACCGGTTATTTCACCAGCATGATTAAAATAGAAGGAATGAGCCATAAATAATGGAAAACAAGAACAACGTTAAAAGTCCAAAGTTAAACACAAAAAAAACCCTGGAAATGGCTCATTTAATGCTACCTGGATGCAGCTGAGCTGCTAGAGCCTCGGCCTTGTTCCTCAGCTGAAATTTCTGTGGGTTTGAGTTTCAAATACCACAAGAGGTGATGTTTACCCATGGTGGAGAGAGAGCAGGAGTCGGTTCTTCCTGGCTTTTCTGGAGCAAAACACGGTTTTGGTCCTCTGTGTGCTTTGCCTGGGGATTTGGAGGGAGGTTTACTGGTGACACCTGAGATTCTTCCAATTTTTCCTTTCCCCGTTAGCTGAAGGGAGGGTTGTGACACCCTCTGACACCTGCCAAGGCTCACTTTGCGTGGCTCTGCCCAAAATTACTCAGAAACCACATTTTGTTTGTTTGTTTAGTTGTTTTTTTCTTACATAAGATGAACCCAAAGGGATCAAATCAATTCTGTGCTCTCAACGCTCCGCAGAGCTGATGTCGAAACCTGGGCCCATCCTACCCGCCCTCCCATGGACTTAGCAGGGACTGATGGATTTTAGGAATTTTCTCCATCTTTCAGAGCATTTTTGGGTGGAAGGAAGGGGAAAGATTGTGTTTTATTACACCTGAGGGGCACCTGCCCTGCAGCTCATCTCTGAAATCCTCACTATCCCCAATCCTGGCTGGCAATAATTACTCGGGTGATGTAATTAACTGCGTCACGTGCCGGTCTTATGGCTTTTTTATTTCACCGAACCGCACAGCACGAGCAAGGGCACGGCAGTTTGTCCTTTATCCAGGCACGATCCCCTCCACCCCAGGCCTGATGGGGTCAGCGAGAACCTTAGAAGGTGGTGGTCTTCATGAGGAGGGGTCCAGGCTTGCAGCAGGGCTCGGGGTGGACAGGCTCCTGCTGGCATGGCAGGGTGGGGCACATGCAGCCCTTGTCATCGCCCCGGGGCGCGGTGCAGTAGTCGAGGGGCTCTTCTTCCTCTTCCTCCTCCTCTTCAGCGGCCCCTTCGCCAGTGTGGCAGCAGCAGAGGCTGGCATCGAGGCAGCGGCGCAGCACACCGTGGAAGGAGTGCCGGAAATTTTCGGAGAGGAATCCGTAAAGGATGGGGTTGGCGCAGCTGTTTGAGTAGCTGAGGATGAGGGAGGCGTTGTTGACGGTGGCATCCAAGCGGCCGGGCAGCAGGAGGTTGACAAGTTGCACCACATAGAAAGGCATCCAGCAGACCACGAACATGGCCACGACCATGAGCACCAAACGCGTCAGCTTGCCCTCGGAGCGCCGGCGCTGCTGCCA